ATGACCACATCAACTCACCTCTATATTCACCACAAGACTCCAAAGACTGTGATGACACCTCATAAACTGAGGTGTTCAATATGACCATTAGTTGTTTAACCATGTTAGTATGCATCATCATTGCATTCTGAGAGTCTTTGATGATTTGTTCAACTTGAGGGCTGGAAAAATGCAATGTCGGAATGTTAGAGCTATGTGCCTTACCACTTAGTTCCTCCATCCCATTTTTCTTTGAAGCCTGTTGTCAACACCAACTTCCATAGCCGAATTCTCATTGGCTTGAGCTTCTTTTCCACTACTGGGACATGGAATTATTTGCTTGGACACCATGTCATCTTTTAGACTTGTTGAATCCAGTTGCTCATCCTTTATAGCTGCCAGTGCATCAAAAACATTTGGGATGGCCACCAAACTATTGTCATTTCGTCGAACACCTTGGACCTGTCGTTTTGGTGATAGCCCTTTCTTTGTCGGAGATTTTTTGGTAGTTACCACATTCCAATCTTCTCCTTTTTTGTTTTGATCCTTCCCCTTATCATCATTATTTTTGTATCCAACCTTATCTTCCAATAATTCACCTGTATTTCTTCTTTTGTCTCCTCCAAAGGCCTGGGTCTCACCATAATTACAGACCCCTGGTGCTGCACTTTGCCTAGCAATTTTACTGCCTAAGTTATGGACCTCACCTCCTGCTACAACATGTGGATCCTTAGCCCTTGAATCTTGCACCATATCCCTCAATCACTACCTGCCTTATCCTTAGTTTGCACAGCCTCACCAGCTCGTTCAACAACTGCCTTTAAACCTGTAGCTATTGGTACACCAGTGTCATCATTCCTAGACTGCAACTTATCAAAAGCTTCTACAACTTGATTTATTGCATTAAGAATAGTTGCTAAAGCTTTTTTAGCTGGCACATCTCTTGTAGGTTTAGGTGGTCCCTTATCAATCATTGAACCAACACCAATAGACACACCTTTACCTGCTTGATTTGTCACAGCCTTATTGTTCCCATTACTAACTTGTTTTCCTTCTTCAATTTGCAATACCTGTTGCGCGACCAGATTTTCTTTTGTTGTTTCACCTCCCTGTTTACCATCATTCTCTGATACATCCTTACCTATTTGTCCAGCTCTTTAAGCGTTTAGATAGTCCCTAGCATCCCCTTGCAACTTGTCAATAGTAGTTACCTCCTTTCCATGCAGATTAACGTCAATGTTTACATCCTCTGCTATCATCTCCCTTCCAGCTTGTTTTTTTATAATTCTACAAGCCTTTCCGTCATGTCCTTGATGCTTGCAATACGTGTAATATTTAAGAAGATTGTCATACACAACTTCCTGATAGTGCACGATTGTTTTACCTGTAATTTTGTCAACCATCAAAATTTTCACCTTTTTAGGGTATTTGTCCAACAGATCAAGAATGATCTTAACTCTAGCAGCACTAGGCCTAGTTCTATCTTGTGTTGCCTTGCCACAACAATAGATTTACCCACAGCTGAAGCAATAGACCTCAATGATCTCTTAGAGAAGCAATTAGGCGGCAAACCTGGAAAAGAAATCCACACCACTGCCATGGACGTTTCCTCTTTAAGATTGAATCCTAACGTCCATAGAAAGGTTCTGAAAAAGAATTCATCTTCTTTTGCCTTGGCATATCCAGTTGATCTTGATAAACACTTAACATAATTATTGTATAGAACAAATCTAACTAAAATATGGCAAAATTCCAGCAATCCTATGTTACAACGACCTTGAATATCGAATTGCGACGAGAAAACTTTTATAAACTCTTGAAGATCAGGTTTCCCATGTGAAAATTTCATGATAACAGCCTAATGCAATCCTTCCTCTCTTGTGAATTGATTAATATCATCCATTGAGAATTCTATCGTTGGTTCACCATGCACGATTGTCACAGGAGCCAACTCGACTTTGGACAAAGTTGCGGCAGATTGTTTTGGACGTAACTGATCAGCATATAGCTGTTTTGGAATGTTGTTTTATTGTTGTTTCGTTAGCTCTTTGAATCATCTCTCCCACAACCAAATGTTGGGGAGAGATCGCAGCAGCCATGGCTGCCCTAGACAACCATGAAATCACCTAGAGAGAGAAAGAAGAGAGAGGAGGGAGCATTTGAGCGTTGATGGGTGGGTTTGGTTTAGGGTTTTTTTAAAGCAAATATACCACTAGGCAGGCTGCCTAGTGGCTAATATATAAATAAAGCAGCCCAAAAACTGTGTCCAAAGTTTACAAGATGTCCAAAGCAAAGTAAAGTAAGTATGACAATACTAAATACTAGGAAGGCTAACCAACTAAAATGACTAGCTATTACAACATGACCAACTGAATGCTTCTTTTTCCTGTAGATGTGTGTGAATTCTAATGCCCATTTCATATACCAAGTAGCACCTATCAAGCTCTCACCAGACGCCAAGGTATGAATGGTATAGGCAATTAAGGACTCCAAGCAGCAACTCCACAGAACTGAAGCAAACAAAGTCTTCCAAGCATGAATGTTGATCCCATATGATTGATCTGAACTTGTCACCTGCTCACTCTTCAAACTTATCATGAATATTGTACTACCATCCCCAGAATGAGTATGTAACCACACTAATACCACTGAGAAATGATAGCACAATACCAACAGTAATAGAACTAATGAAGTGTGTGACAAAATATTATTGTGTGGTGTCCAGGATGCTAAATCAAACTCATAGAGGAGTTTTATCTTAGACATGAATCTGAAACCTATCCACATTGAAATCCAGCTTTGAACCTCTAAATAAGTCAAAAATATTGGACTGCACATTGCCTCAAATAGTAAGGACAATACTAAGGCTGTGCAAAGTACATTCCTACTGTCCAAGATAACAAACAACACAACTGCAGAGGAATCCAATCCAGAAATGATGTCTATAAAGTGTACTGATATACCTTGAGATCCTATGGATGATCCTGCCATACCTTTATATGAAACAACCATTCTGAAAACTGCTAAATCACTCCCAGACTGAGCATGATAACATGCTGATACCACTGAGAAGCCATTCAACAATGTCCAAAAGAATGCAAGACAAGGTTTTGGCAGTGCACAAGTTAGATTGTACATCAATCAGTTGCTTTCCTCTTGGCAATCCTAACTCTAAGGTTAGGAATTTGAGCTTTGTCCATATTGATTAATACTTTTCCTTCAGATGTCAACTCATGAAATGTGTGAAAGATGATTGTACCTGCAAAAGAGCAAATAAGGTTAGCTAAAAATCAGCAACTTTGTTTCCCTCCCTTAGCACATGTTAAAACAGCACATTGTATGAGTTCTTTATCTCCTTGATCCTTCTCACTTCTGCCCCTATATAGCACGGTGTCTCCCATTCATCATCAATGATCTTCCTCATCACTAGAGAATCAGTTTCCATGATCAAAGGATGAAGCTGCCTCTCTACACAGAATAACAGTCCTTCAACAATAGCCTTTGCTTCAGCCACAATATTAGTTGCCTCACCTATCTCCCTTGCCTTTGCAAATACCAAGTTCCCCCTATGATCTCTAACACAGAATCCATAAGAACTAGGGCCCGGATTTCCCCTTGATGTTCTATCTGTATTGCACTTGAACCATCCTTCATATGGAAATTGCCATGTGACTCTCTTAGTGACTACACCTGGCTTGTAGTTTTCAAAGAAATTGATCATCTCTGGCCCCAGTAAAGGAATCCTAGGAAGCCAAGGGTACCTCACCTTTGCCAAATAATACAAGGTCTTACTAACTTTATGGATAACTCTACTACAAGACATTGTCTCCCCATGCTTGATTGTATTTCTTCTCTTCCAAAGCTCCCAAAGAATCACTGCAGGAGCTGCCTGAAACAATGGTAAGCTTAGGACAACACTTTGCATTCCACCATTCTCTTACAACCTAATGTACCTGTACCATATTGATCACCAAACCAGCAGCCTGTGTAAAAGACCTCCACACATTAGGGTTTAGGTTTTTTTTAAGCAATCCACTGCTGAGAGGATTTTGGGGTGGCTAGATTAGGGTTTTTTGGGTGAGAGACGGAAAGGAGAAAATGGGGAAGGGTCTCTAGGTCTAGGAGGGGGGGGGGTTAGGACGGTTATAAAGGGGTGGAGGGTCAGTTCTGGTCCGTTGGATCATAGGGAATGAAGGGCTGAGATCAGACACCCTAAAACGGCGTCGTTTTTGTTTAATGGGGGGCTGGACCGAATAAGCTAAATTTGGGCCTGGATTTGGGGCGGGTTTGGGGTGTAAATCAGCCCAATCGAACTTTAAAAATAGCCTTCTCTTCTTTCTTTCTTTCTTTAATCCTTTTTCTTTTCTTTTCTTTAATTAATGAATCCTAAAATTAGAATCCTAAATTATCTAAATTGTAAAATTATACTAATTATCTAATTAAAATAATTATAAAGATTACTTGATCCTAAATAAGAAAAAAAAATCACTAATCTAAAAATAAAAAGGTAAAATGTAAACGTGAGCGATTTTTGTGATTTTCATTTTGAATAAAACAAATAATTAACTAATTAATCCTAAAAGTGTAAAAATAAAACCTAAATGCCATACATGGTATTTTTGATATTTTTCATGATTTTAAAGAAAAAAATATGCACAGAAAATACGAACAATTAACACAAATTCCTACAAAAATCATATATAAGCAAACAATTGGAGGAAATCTATTCTCTTAGATTTTATAGGAATAATTCACATAGGGTAAAACTCACACAGTATTAAAATTCCACAACTAGTATAAAATGTGTCCAAGCTGTGTGAGATATAGCTGATGAAGAGGATGGTTGGTTTTTTGGTTAGTCACGTGTCTCGCTATGGAAACACTAAACAGTCTTTACACTGCTTTTCTGGTAAGTCTTGTCATTTAGCTATGATGAGCAAAAAAGAATTAAAAAGTGGCTACAAAATGACTTACTAAGTACTATATATGAAAGATAAGTAACATGGGAGGGGAACTTTTGTTGGTCTGCAGAAAACTTTAGTGCCTAAAAACCTGCCAAGATTCATCAAAGCAAAGTTCACTTGACAAAAAAGCTTCTTCTTTTCAGGTGAGGTAAAATATAATATTCTTTGAGAACAAAAATGATTTTGACGTGGATCTTTAATGATTGTTCTTTAACTTTTGCTTTTCTCATGACTATCATGTTTTATAGGAAGAAACTGATCAGTATAAGTCAAGAACTTCCTTCTGATTTATAACAGAAGCTATTTGCAGACAAAGATAATTGCTTGTGTAGTAGTATATAGTGCTATGTGGAGAGTTGGACCTATTTGTTGGTTTTCTTCTTCTTGAGTACTTTGTGTAAAAATGGCTGGTATGCTTCCTGGTGTTGAACATGCTAGAAGGAGGAGATTTCATCATGAGAGGGGTGATAATTGTGGTTTTTCATCCACAAGGAGGTCATCTTTTTCCCTCTACACAACCAACCATGATCAATACCATCTTAGTTTAGGCTGTCCCAAGGTACTAGTAAATTCCTCTTGACTACTACTGCTACAACTTTGATTGCTTCCTTTTTCATGTTTCCTTCTGCCGAGAGTCTATCGGAAACAGCTTTTCTATCTTCACAAGATAGGACTAAGATCTGCATACACACTACGCTCCCTAAACCCCATTTGTAGGGTTTCACTGAATTGTTGTTGTTGTTATTGTACTACGACTCCTTGTTTGATAGAAATTTTTTGTATAATCATCTGGTATTAGGAATAATTTACGGGTCAGATTAATCTGGATTCTAATCTACTAAAGAGAGAAGTGCTCTTTACCAAGTGTAGTTCTTCCTTTTTTTTTGAGCTAGAGCTAGAAACCTTTAATTAACGAGGATGGATCTCATCCGTCCCACCAGTACTCTTGTCGGTGGTTGATAGAATGAATTGATAATAACTCTTATGTCCTTTTCTTGTTTCTTCAATTGAATTAACAGCAAAGAAGTGCAGCAAGCCATGGATACCAAGATGAGAAACTAATTGAAATTGCCAGAGAAGCTAAGCAAAGGTTGGATGAAAGGCTAAGTGCACAGTGCAAATCAGAAAAGAAGAGGTAAAAGTCCAAGTTTCCCCAACCCCTTACTTCTGGTCTTTTTTTTTTAACCCTTTATCTACTTAAGCGGATCAATAATTTAAACTTGATGTGTTCAACATTTAACGATCTTATCACTGAATCAATTGTGCTAATGAAATATGTTCAAATTTTGATTTTTGTTGTAAATTCAATAACTCTTTCACATATATATTTGTATTTCGTGTCAAAAATGTCAGATTCAATTGAAGCGATCCGCCCATATTTATCTCACTTGGCACTGATTGTATATTTCATTTGTTGTAATGGAATCCAGGAGTACTATCAATAATAGACAAAAAATGCAAGGGGTGGTGAAGATTAGGCCAATATTGGGGATGAATGATTTGCAAAAAGAAGTGTTTAGATTAAAGAAAAGTGTGTCAAAAAAGTTCATCAATTGGGCAAAGTTGGGGTGGAAATCTTCAGAACAAGATGAATGTGCCATTTGCTTGGACAAATTCAGGAAGAGGGACAACCTTATACAATTGCCTTGTGCCCACAAGTTCCATTCCAATTGTTTGGTGCCATGGCTTGAGTTTAATTCGCATTGTCCTTGTTGCAGAATGGAAATCTTGACCATTCGATAATCTTCTCTGTATCGTACCAATTTTATCGGATGTCCACGAAGAACGTCTTAACTACATATTAAGTAGAAAAGAAACGAGAAAACAAAAGATGCATCTTTTCGTTTCGTGCCCGAAACTTCTAAAATAATATAATATAAAAGCTTTCTTGTTATCAAGCTTAGTGACTCTTAAGTATTTGAGATTGTGCCATATACATATATGTAGGGGTGTACATGGACCGAGTTGGTTCGGTTTCTATCAAAACCAAACCAAACCAATTATATCGGTTTGGATTGGTTCGGGTTTGTCGGGTTTTTCGGGTTTTCGGGTTTTTTTGTTACATGAATATTATTTCAATCTTACGTTATTAAAATTATAGATAACGCTTTGATAAGTAAATATATGTTTAGTAAATATGGAAAAAATTGACAAACATATGATCTATTAAAATATTCTAATGGGAGAAATTTTTTAGTAACACATGATAGTTATTTTCTTAGTCGTCTAACAATAATTTTTTGTTAATTTACGCTTTCAAGGTTAATACATGAGAGGATCCCAAATATTTCTACATTTTCTAAAGAAATATCACTACAAAGTCTTAAAAATATAAATAAAATTTATATATTTATATGTCGGTTTGGTTCAGGTTTTTTTACTCAATACCAAACCAAGTCAAACCAAACCTAGTCGGGTTTTTTAATCGGTTTGGTTTGATTTTTCGGTTTGGTGCGATTTTCCGGTTCGGTTTGAACACCCCTACATATATGTATGTGAATCATAGGTATACATTGGTTGAACTAAATATACATATTTGAAACTTATACTATAATTCAGAACTCATGTCATCTAAATTCTATGTACGCCACTAGAACAAAGGGCAGCAGTGAAGAAGCAGCAGCACCTATGTTGGCACAAGATTGATGTCTTCCGCTAGGACGAAATAATTTATTTCTATTATCAAGAACTACATAATTTTTCCTATCTCAGAAAATTAAGAGAGCAATATTCAAATAACATTATCCTTTTGAAACGGAGAAAATACTACTTTTTCATTATACATGATAGAAACAACACATTAGTCTAACCATATTTAACTGTTACCTTTAAGTTCTAAACTGATTTATTAAAAGAACCGAGCTCAAAAAATACAAACTAGATTAGTTTATGCTGACTTAATAGAGTAATTCCAATATATGTCTTAAAGAGCTACTTAATTCTACCTGAGAAATATGATTTTAATTTCCTGATCTTTAAGACTGATATGGTTTGGCTAAAAAAATTACGAATTCATATATATAAATCATACCGGACAATAGATACTTAAATCAAATATTCAAACTTCAAAAACAATTAAAAAATCATAAGAAAATAAACTTTAAAATCAATAAAAGAGGCAAATCACCTTTTGGTTGTGATGGAATAAATATAATCCTTATATTTCTAGTTATAAGTCTATGATTCAACATAATAAGCGTTTCCTCTTTTACTAACGTTAGGTATTTTGAATCTAAGTTAATCGAGTCTCAAAGTTGAGATAATATACTTCAAAAATTACAACTCTAAGATTCGATATAATGAACGTTTTCTTACATCATCCAAAAAAAAAAAGGAACATTTCCTCCTTTACATCTTGTTTGGACGGTTGTTACCTATTGCATTGCATCGTATTATTACTTTAAATATAATGTTTGTTTTGATTGTTACTTAAATTTTATTGAATCGCATCATTAAATCTGTAGTTACGTAATAATGACAAAAATTGTCACTTTATGGAACGACAGATTTAGTGTGGCAGCTAGGGGTGTTTATAAAAACCCGAAAAACCAAACCAAACCGACCAAAAAAATCGATACTTTTTGGTTTGGTTTGGTTTTGGTTTTGAATTTTAAAAACCGATCAAATTTGGTTTGGTTTTGGTTTTAATCAGAAAAAACCCGAAAAAAACCGAACCAAACCGACTATAAGAGTAGCTATTTTAAATTTGTTATTACACCTATATATATGTATATTTTTATACAAAAATTTTATGGTAAATGTTAATAGTTTGCCACTTTTAGTATAGTTCTTTACCTTTACATTCTAGTTTGATTGCTAGTTTTCTTTTGTTAAGTGTAAGAATTCATTTCGTGTTAAAAATAATATATTTTTAGTTGAGTCCTTAAAATATTTATCACTATTTGATTCAATTATCATCAATATATCTGGGTAAATAATAGATTTTTCAAAGGGCAATTGATTTGATAGTGTTACATTGAAAATATGGTCGCCGGAGTATGTGTTTGGTAGTGTATGTTTTATATTTAAGAAAAAACCGACAAATAACCGAAAAAATCGAAAACCCGACAAAACCCGACATAAACCGAATCGAGAAAAAACCGACTTAATTGGTTTGGTTTGGTTCTAATATTTGAAAAACCGACTTACTTGGTTTGGTTTCTTTTTAGGGAAAAACCGATCCAAACCGAACCATGAACACCCCTAGTGGCAGCGTCGTTATCTTGTTTTTTCTCTCATCTTGCCCTTCTTTATTATTAAATAATCATATTTTATCCTTTACCATACTCTTTTATATAATAATTCTATTCCGTGTCTTTCTTTCTTTTTTTCTTAGTAATATTACAAGTTTATTTTTTTTAATTGTTGGTGCGTGACATCATGAAAAAACGACAAACAATACAATCTATCCAAATGTTATATTCATCAAACTATATAGTATTATATAATACAACATGATATATTATGAAATGATAGGTAGTAACAATCCAAATTAGCTGCTAATGACCTTAGACATTTCGAATCTGAATTAATCGGGTCCCAAATTGATACTATATCATACTTCAAAAGCCCAAAAAAAAAAAAGAGGTGAAATATTATTGTCGTAGGGGGTGGGGTGGGTGGTAGGTGTTGGGGAGGGAGAGGGCAAAGGTTTGCATTTCCTGGGAGGTTCCCGGGAGGAAAGACAGTCAAAACTCCCAAATTCCTCATTCCTTAACTTCTACGACATAGAATCATTCAAACTTTTAGATCTGAACAAACATTGTCCAAAAAGAAGAAGAAGAAGAAAAATTCATAAACCCCTTTGCACAATTTCTTCTTCTTCTTCTTCTTCTTCTTCAAAAACCCTTTGCACAATTTCTCAGTAATATCATAAACCCATATACAAACAAGACCCAAATCATACAAAAAAACACAAAAGATTGGATTTTTAAATCAATGAAATTAGAAAAAACATGATGGAACTCAAACCCCTTAATTTGGTTCCACCTAATAGACCCCCACCAGGTCTTAATTTCTTTCCAAGCCTCAATCCACCACAAAAGACTTTAACTTTCCACAAATTTTTAGTCCTTTTTCTAACTTTTATAGCATATGCAGCTTTTCATGCCTCAAGAAAACCTCCAAGTATAGTAAAATCAGTTCTTGGCCCTGAGATCAAAGCCCAAAATGGCACTAATGGGTGGGCCCCATTTGAGGGTCCAAGTGGGCCCCACCGTTTAGGGGAGCTTGATCTTGCATTCTTGTTAGCATACTCAATTGGGATGTATTTTGCTGGACATATTGGTGATAATATTGATTTAAGGCTTTTCTTGACTGTTGGAATGCTTGGTAGTGGCATTTTGGTTATTGCTTTTGGTTTAGGTTATTTTCTTGATGTGCATTGGCTGTTATTTTTTGTAACTGTTCAGATTTTATGTGGGTTGTTTCAGTCTATTGGTTGGCCTTGTGTTGTTGCTGTAATTGGAAATTGGTTTGGGAAGGCTAAGAGGGGGTTGATAATGGGAGTTTGGAATTCAAATACCTCAGTTGGTAATATTATTGGTTCTTTAGTTGCTTCATCTGTATTGAGTTTTGGTTGGGGTTGGTCATTTTTATTGCCCGGGATATTCATTTTGGTCGTGGCAGTGTTTGTGTATATGTTTCTTGTAGTGAGTCCTGATCATATTGGTTTAGAATTGGCTTCAAAGGAGATTGAGATGAATGTTGAGGGAGTTGCATTGGTTGGTAAAGAGACAGGTGAAGCTGAAGAGGAGGGAGTCGTCGTGGAACCCGAAACTGAGGGTGCAATTGGGTTCTTGCAAGCCTGGAGGTTACCAGGAGTTGCACCCTATGCATTCTGCTTATTTTTCTCTAAGCTAGTGGCCTACACTTTTTTGTATTGGTTGCCCTTCTACTTGAGGCAAACAGGTACTTATTTCGCCGAACTTTTACTAGGAAAAAACTACTTTTTGACGCTACTTGATTAAGTTGAGTATTGTTTCCATTTTGGTCATTGACAACGCTACCATCCTATTTTCTATATGAATAACTCGACTTGAATGATAAGAAATTGCTGCTTTCCTCTTACGCTGGAGTATTTGAGATTGGAGATGCGTTTGGTTGTTTCATTGCATATTGTGTTTATTTGCTTATGCTAGACGAGCATAGGGGTAGCAAAGCCTTCGCTTGCTTAGTTTGGGGTTTGAAACGGTTATGGTGTTCAAAATCAGCTCTTAATCTGCTGAGCATGATATTAATTAACATACAATTGCTCTGTTTATGAGTAAAGTTTTCCCCTGTTCTACATTGACGAGCCTAACAAAACATTTTTTTTTAAAAATCTAATGTCATTTGTGAAAAAAATTTAAGCTTCGTTTCAACCACTCCTGCATGGGTTGCACACTTACAATTTTGTTGTTTTTGCAGTTGTTGCTGGTGTGCAGCTATCTCACAAAAGTGCTGGGATCCTTTCGACAGTTTTTGATATTGGAGGAGTCGTTGGAGGGGTTTTGGCAGGGGTCACATCGGACATAATTGAAGCTCGTGGGGTTACTTCCATTGTATTCTTGTTGTTATCAATGCCGGCCCTTCTTTTTTATCGCATATATGGGAGTGTATCTATGTTTACCAACATCACTTTGATGCTCGTTTCTGGTGCACTTGTCAATGGTCCTTACTCCCTTATTACCACAGCAGTTGCAGCAGATCTTGGTACTCAGAGCGACATAAAGGGGAACTCTCGTGCATTAGCTACTGTTAGTGCAATTATAGATGCTACTGGTTCGGTGGGGGCAGCTCTTGGGCCACTTTTAGCAGGATATATTTCAACAAGAGGATGGAACAGTGTGTTTGTTATGCTAATTCTTTCAATATTCATTGCAAGCCTATTGTTAATCCCTATTGTGAAAAATGAGATTAAAGAAAAGCTGAATGAGGGGAAATGGCTTTGGATCAGCATGATTAAAAGGTGACTTGGAATCTCTTGAAGGCAAAGCTACAAATACCTCTATTTGATTATGATAATGGTTCACGATTTGAACCTTTGAAGTAGTGCAGGAGCCCCTGTTTTTTTGTATAGATTCTTATAGCTCTCTATAGAGAAATGAGGAATTCAACAGTAGACTTTCAAGATAATGCTTATACAACTACTATTATTCTGTATAATTGAGCTGACTTTCGAGTATCATTTTTGTGCCTTTGGGATTTCTTGTAGAATGAGGTGAATGTAATGCTAGTCTTTTGAAACATATTGATGAAATAATTTTCTCACTCTACTCTCTATTTATTTATTTATTTTTTTTCTTTCTCGGTAGTCGGATTTTCAAGATTCAATTTTGTCAAAAACATAAATCGGGTATATATAATTCCAGTAGTATAAGATTTGCAGTCATCCCTCTTCTGGAATAACAAAAGACCATTTAAACCCCTTTGGGAATCACTAAATTGGATTCAGAATTTTAATATTTTTATTTTGAATTATAATTTTAGTTAATTAGTTAATTCTTGAAGAATATACAAGGCACATAAACAAGATCTGATTCATCCATTGGAGCAGCAGCAGCCGGCGGATTTGGAAGCGCGCCCGGCCATCCCCGACTGTGATCCAGGTTCCATCTTTCTTGTATTGTATTCACTCATATCTATTTACTGTTGCCTTGTCGGCAATTTTGATTGGATTAATTGCTTTTTCTATTTTTGGTGCTTAGTGGTAGTGTTTACCTAATACCCTGTGCTTATAGTGGTGGTAGTGAACGATGTGAGAGTAAGGTCATGTCCTCGGGTGGGGCTGGGGGTGGGGTCCAGGGGTGGGAAGGGGGCAAGAAAGCCTCTAGGTTGAGAATTGGGTCTTGGAACATTGGGACGTTGACGGGGAAGTCTATAGAGTTAGGTAAGATTCTTCAGAAGAGGAAGATCAATATAGCATATGTTCAGGAGACTAGATGGAAGGGTAGTAGGGCACGAGATGTAGACGAGTTTAAACTATGTTACTCAGGGAACGCTGCGGGTAAGAATGGGGTAGGTATTTTAGTAGACATGAACCTCAGGGAACTCGTGGTTGAGGTTAGGAGGGTAAATGATAGGTTGATGAGTATTAAGCTGGTAGTTGGTGGGTTTACTGTAATCGTGATTAGTGCATACGCTCCTCAGGTAGGTTTGGACCAGGAGGTCAAGAAGCAATTCTGGGAGGATTTGGACGAGATGGTGCGTAGTATCCCGCACATAGAGAAGTTGTTCATTGGCGGAGATTTCAATGGTCATATTGGGGCTAGTGCTGGGGGTTATGATGATGTGCATGGAGGGTATGGCTTTGGGGATAGGAATGAGGGAGGTAATTCATTGTTGGATTTTGCTAAAGCTTTTGATTTGGTTATAGCTAACTCGAGTTTTCCGAAGTAGGGAAGAACGACCTGGTCACTTTCCGAAATTCAATGGGCAAGACGTCAGATTGANNNCAAGGGAGTAACAACAATAACTTTCACATCCCGGCAAGGGAGATAATCAATATACTAACACCATCCCGGCAAGGGATTGATCATATCTCTTTCCATTTCTTTCATTTCTTACTCAATAGTATTTTTATTGTTCGAGCCAGCGCTCCAAAGAATTTACAATTCATAACCAATCCTCAAACCCTTCACATTATGTAGAATTCATCAATTAGCATAGAAGAGTCTCAAAAATATCAAAAATACGTGCAAACAAGGACCCACGGTCATGCTAGACACCGGTGTATAGATACTCGTCACCATGCCTATACACCGTACTCGATCATTTAGCAATTAGCAATTAATAACACACTAATCCTATTCCCTCAAGCCAAAGTTAGATCAAACACTTACCTCGGTCCAAAGAATAGCAATCAATCCTCAAATACCGCCTTTCCTCTACAATCCGACTCCGAAACAATGATATCTAGGCATAATTAATTCAATAATATCAATAAAGACTCAATGGCAACATCCCATAGCCTAGATATGAATTTCCTAACATTCTTCCAAAAATACCAAATTTAGACACCGGGCCCACATGGTCCAAACACGAGGCTCGTACCAAAACCCAATCACCCATAACCCCACGAGTTCAAATATATAATTTGTTTTAAGATTCGACCCCAAATTGAGGTTGAATCACCCAAAATTCTCAAAACCCTAACTCTACCCAAAACCCTTAATTTCTACTTTGATTTCATGATTTAGGTCTAGGAATTTGATAAATGATGATAGAAAATGAAGAAAACGAGTTAGATAATACTTACCCAAGAAGCTTTGGTAAAGGATAGCTCTAAAAATCGCCTATGGGCTGTGGAAAAGATGAACTCGTGTGTATTATGTGAAACATCCCGTCACTGGTCTGTTTTTAGGCTTTTAAAATAACTGGGCAAAAATGCCCTATGCGATCGCAGAAGAGGGGATGCGATCGCATAGGGTCAGGTTGGATGTGCTTTGCGATCGCAGAAGACACATTGCGATCGCATAGAGTAAAATAAAAGGGGGCTGAATTTTGTACAACGCGATCGCGGAAGCTGTAATGCGATCGCATAGAAGGGTTTCTGGGCCTTGGCAATTTGCTCTATGCGATCGCGGCCTGTCCTATGCGATCGCATAGAAGGAAAAACTGGGCAACAGACAGCAGCAAATTCTGCTGCATTTTCTAAGATTCAAACACCCCGAACCACCTTCGAAACACTCCCGAGCCCTCGGGGCTCCCAACCAAACACACACACTTAATCAACAACATCCTACGAACTTAACCATGCGATTAAATCGCCAAAATAACATCATAAACTAGGGGTGGGCATAAAATCCGAAAAACCGAATTCCGAACCGGACCGAATTATTTTCGGTATTTTGGTTTCGGTTTTTTTGGTATTTCGGTCTAATTCGGTACTAAATTTTCGGTATTTCGGTATTTCGGTTCGGTACTCGGTTTCAGAAATCTGAAATTTTGGTATTTCGATTATACCGAAATACCGAATTTTAAATAGGCCAGTCCACAGTCCACTACCCTACCCATCCCCAGCCCNCCTCCAACCAGAAAAACGTTACCCGTTCTAACGGCCGAAACCCCCTTCTGCGCCTCCTGAGCAAGTAGACCTAGGGTCTGATCACTCTGAAGGCTTCGCCTCATCTCAGGGTGATTTCTCTGAACACTCCCAACTTCTAGGAGAAAAAGCCTTAGGCAAACGACCCATGGAAGATCCTCCAATTCCATCCACCCCAAAGAAATCAAAAGTTGATTTCTCTGCCTCACTCGAGACTGACCTAAATTTCTGGGATACCCTAAATAGGGATCTTTTTCATTACTCTTAAGGACAAGCCCATCGCCCATGGAAGGATCGTGGATCTTGATGATATGGAAGCCCTCAACTGTAAGGTTAAAGAGCTCTTTGTTTATCAAGGGTGGGAAAAATTCCTCTCTATTCCTCCGCCTAGTGTATATGAACCCCCGGTCAAAATGTTTTATGCAAATCTTCGCTCCAGTAAACCAGATAGGCTAGAATCTCTAGTGCTAGGTAAGCACATTGTTCTTGATTGTGCCTTGTTTGACTCTCTTTTCCAATGTCATTGCTCTGGTTTCCCTACTCTTTTTAAAAATGTGTGGCCTGAGGATTTTGAAATTTCTTTTGACCAAGCCAAACATTGCATTGTTGAGTGTCCCTCTGAAATTCTTCCAAACCAATTGGGCCCCAGTGATGTAAGTTTTGAAACTCGGGTTCTAGCCCATATTGTGGCAACCACTCTGCTTCCCCGTACTGGTTCCTTTTCAACTTTCTCTCAAAGGGATACATTCTTTGTCTACTGCCTCATAACCAAACTCAAACTCAAGCTTTCCTCCTGGGTCATCAATTTCATGATAGAAAGTGCTGAAGATCCCACTAGTTTACCCTATGGCATGGCAATCTCTCATATTCTGGAAGCCTATCAAATTTCTCTATCCAACTATCCCTTCATTACTGTCTGCAAGTCCTATAATTCTAGAGCTTTTTCTAGTATGGGCTATGTGAGTATCAAGGGCTCCTGGGTTAAGAAAAGTGAGAGTGAAGCAAAGCAGGCCCCTATGGAAACTAAACCTTCATCAGTTGTTCCTTCTCCTACTCTTGTCAGTTCTGAGCTTAGTGAAAAACTTAGCTCTATTGACTCCAAACTCTCTGACATCAAGAATCTTCTTTCCGCCACTCAGTCCACTGTAGGGGTGGGCATAAAATCCGAAAAACCGAATTCCGAACCGGACCGAATTATTTTCGGTATTTTGGTTTCGGTTTTTTTGGTATTTCGGTCTAATTCGGTACTAAATTTTCGGTATTTCGGTATTTCGGTTCGGTACTCGGTTTCAGAAATCTGAAATTTCGGTATTTCGGTTATACCGAAATACCGAATTTTAAATAGGCCAGTCCACAGTCCACTACCCTACCCATTCCCAGCCCAACGCCCAAGCCCACCCACCCTTCTTTATTTTATTTCTAGCCCAGCCCAGCCCCAAGCCCACCCATCTTCTTTAAGTCTGACTTAGAGTTAGAAGAAACAAATTAACAAACCAGAACCCTTGCCCAGTTGCCCTAACTTTGTAGCAAGTATAGTGAGAGAAAGTGGACGATATCGCCCAAGCTCAGCAGTCAGCAGCATCGATTACGATTTGGCGTCGGCGATTGGGATTTTGGGGGATTTCCGACTTCGCACCCCTAGCTCCGACTCCTCACTCCCCAGTCTTCAATTTTCAAAGGTATGTTTCTACTTTCTAGCGATACCAAATTAGGACTGTGAAATCATTTGTGTTGAGAATGTTTGTAAATGCTTTAGGATTATCGAAGCCACAGAAGCAGTACTACTTACCTTAGATTCATTTTGATCCTAAACTCAGTTTAAATCTGTCCGAAATTCTGTCTCTGTTTAACATTTGAAATTATGAGAACATTAAAGCAAGAACTTGGTATCGACTGATGTTTGCCTTATCCCCTGTTGACCTGTTGTTGTGTACCGAGCTGTGTCAAAAAATACACACTTTACCTAGCAGCAGTCCCCTTCTTCCACTTTAAACACCCCAAAGACAGAGAAAAAAAAAGTCTGTGTGTGTATTACTGACTTAAGGATCCATTTAAGTCCCTTGCATGCTAATTCTGCTGTACTTAGCTAATCTTTTCCAACCAGTTTCTTTAGTCGGGGTCCAAAAATCATCAATGTGGAAAGTTAATCATGATGCAGTTTAATGAAACAACTGAATTGCAAAGAGACTGATTAGTAAAACAGTTGAAGATTATATTATAAATACAAATGCTAAAAATG